CGATCGAACAGGAGAAGCAAGCAGGCGAGTCGTAATGAGGCGAGCGCCGCCAATATGCACTGTACATTCCACAAGCATTGCCTTCTTATTTTACTTCTTTTAGCTGTTTAACTTTGTAAGATGCAGAGAGGTTGGATCAAGTTTAAATGACTGTGCTGCCCCTTTCACATCCAAATATCCAGAACTACTGACAACGAAGGCCACGCCTGCCTCTACCATCTGCCTGTCTGGCTGGCTGGCAAGGAAAAGAACTTGCATGTTGGCGAAGAAAGAATCGGGGTGGGACGACAGTGAAATCTCAAGTTAAAACTAAGCTGGCCCCAGGGTTTCTTGCAGGCTGTAAAATGCAGTTTAATCTGAGTGCCATTTTTTTTTCGTCAAATGATTTTAATTATTGGAATGCACAATTTTTTTATTAATGCAAATAAAAAGTTTTAAAACCTGGCTGGTGTCTCGTGTTTGGTATTTGGAAGGAGCATCGGGGATAGCCTTGCTCTTGGTCCACTGGGGAGCAAGCAATAAGTAACAGACATCTGGTGACTTGGTAAATCCCCTAAGGGCACTAAAGTGGGTTTCACCCAGCTTGGTAAAATACTAGGTAATTGGGAGATCATTCTTTTTAGGTTGAATCCCCAGTGTATTGTATGAAAGCTTTACTGAAAATATATTTGCGGTTCTTAACTTTAGGAGTTTTGATAAGCCAACTCTGGAGTTACTGTAAATGCTTAAGAAAATGAAGGTTGGATAATTTACAGTATCTTGTTTCACATATCAAACAACTTAGCCAATTAGTATTGAAAAGTAGCAAGCAGTCTTGTAAAAGGAATAAAATTCACATTAAAACAGTGCTTTAAAAAGGAATTTAGGGCTTGTACTTAACTGTGTAATGGCTGATCTACAATTTGATATTTGAAGTTGCTTTCATCAAATGATAAATTCATTTGCCATTAATACATAGGTTTAAATTTAATGAATTCATTTCTATGCATAGCCTTTGAATTAAAGGGATACTTACTAGATCCTTTGGGTTTAAGGCACACCGGCAGGTGATACTTGTATTAAGTTTAAGTCCAGCGGGAATTAGTGGGCTCACATGCAGGTCGTTCCTGTCTTGAGTCTTTGACAACACCACAATCATTTGAAATACATAATTTTCACTGGTGGGTAAAAGCAAAGCCCATAATTTTGGCCACTTGGTGTGCGGGAAGAGATGGGAATAACAGCAATTCTTAAAGTGAAAGATTCGCTTTAACCAAGGTCCTTAAGGAAAGGTGCACATAGTTTTTTAAAAATAAGAGCACCAGTTTTATTAAGCTGAAACAAAGAACAGGATTTAAGAACACTGTTCTCCCAAGATCTCTCTGCAAAGCTAATATTTACAATGCGAATGTGCAAGAGGTTAAACCTATTTTCCTAAAAGCTCAAAAGGAGTGAAGGGGTAGGGGAGTGAGAATTGTTGATTATTAAACAGGTTGATTTCATTTCCTTTGCTTAACACTATTTTGAGAAATGCACAGGAACCCATTTACCTGTGCTTTAGACAAGCAGACATAGACGCCTTGCTCAGCTTTGCAAGGGAAGGGGCCTGTACCGGCTGCGACCGAGGCCGCCGCTCAACCTGAGGCGGAGAAGACCCGCGAGAGCACAAAGGTTCTGCGCCGAGGCATCTGGTGCTGGAGACTGGGCTGGAACCCAGCAATTTCTTTTCTTGCCTACAAGGAAGGGTGTGGGCTCCGCGAAAATGCCCCAGACACACAGGGAAACAAGTGCCACGTCGTTTTTTTTGTTTGTTTGTTCGTTCTTTTTTACTGTGTGCCTTTTTCAAACAATGCAAAGATAAAAGAGGATTTTTAAGAAATGAACACAACGCCAGTGTTCTGAGTTCAAAGAGGAGCATTTAAGGAAAGGGATGTTTCATGAGATCAAGTGATGGAAGAGAAGACCTTTTTCCTGAGAGGACAAAGTTAAAATGTAGCCCCCCCCCCAAAAAAAAATTGAAAATCTGGTGATGATTGGATTGGGGCTGCTTGCTGTGTGGGCCGGGGAAAACTCAGGAGCTTCGGCCCATGTCACACTCTGTACACTTGGCTGCCGCAAGGGATGGGAGAAGCTACATTTTTTTTTTTTTTTGATGGGGGAATTCTTTATTTTTCCCAAGAGAGAATCTTCCCAGAAAGATTGGGGGTATTTATGAATCACTGTGGGAACTTATGCTCCTGCTATGCAGGGGTTTGAAGGCAAGTGTTTTTCACAAATACAAAGGGGACATGAGGCTTACCACCAGACTGAAGGAGACCCTAGCAGTGACATTTTTGACTGTGTCCCTCCCCACCTCCCTACCTCCCAGGAGGAAGCAGGCCAAGGGAACTTAAGTAAGTGCTGAGGGTCACACGGTTTTGTCTGGGACTTCTGCAAAATTTTGAATTGATCAAGACAAATAAAGCACAAACAGAAAATAAAGAGAGGCCCAGTAAAGCACTGTGGGGACTGAGCCGGCTACATTTTGAAACCTTGCAAATTTCGCAGCCCTTGAGCCACAATTCTTATCTTCCAATGGACGGAATTTTAAAGCTATTTTATTCTTGCAGGAGAACAACACAGCGTTGGGGCTGTGTGTGCAAGGATTGCGTATGGATGGGGGTGTGACGGGTGCGTGCAAAACCATAACATTGAGCATCCCCGCTGTGTAGGGCTTCTCACATGCATTATAATCAGAATTAGATACTGCCTCCTTTAAATTGCACAAGAAAGATCTGTTCCTTTCTCCTCCTAGAAACATCTAATTCTTCAAGACATAAACATAAAATAATTTTGTATTACTTCTAAGCGTATGGGGCCAATCTCGTGCTTATTAGAAGGAGCAGTGCATTTTGGAAGCAACATTCTACCCAAGGAATACAAGTAAAAAACCTCAAGTATTTCTTAGTTCAAGCATGTGAACTTCAAACATTGTTTAATAACGTTGCCAACCTTTGACGATTCATTGACCCTTGTAGGCTTCACTGCCTGGCAGTGAATAATAAAAATATCCTCCCCATCATCACCTCCAAATTCTCTTTTAGATTCCACTTTCGAGAGTGGCTTGCCCTGCGATCTAAGAGAATTAAACATACCAAGACGGGGTTCAACTAGATATTATTTGCATGTAATGAGAAAGGGACAAATTACAAATTTAAGGCACAGATATATAAGGAAGTAAACTAAGAAGAAAATATTTTTCTAAGACCATATTTACTTGTTCTATATTTTGCTTGAATACTTGAATAACCTTTCATCTCTCTAGTCATATTGTTGTGCTAGTACTGTCTCTACTCCTGGCTTCTGAGACTTTTGTGGGCAGGGTCTGCGCATGCTAATGCTGTATTCATTGTGTGCATACATTGTGCACGCTTCCTCCCAGTCCAGAAGGGCCTTGCATAGTAATGGACACATATTAGGGTGTTAATATACACTTTCTCCCTTTAATTGATGGTACCTCACTTAACCTGTTTGCCTCAGAGTCCCTTTGAACGTGTGAATGCATGCCAGATAGCCCAATTTTAAATATACCATTTAAAAAACATATCGGAAGAGCTTTGGACACTAATTTTTCTACCCTCTCTGTGCTGATTTCAATCAATACTTATAGCCAGCTCCATATTATGAAGCCAGAGCACTGGATCATTAGTTCACTGACATCGATTGCTCAGAACATGCCAGGTATTTCATTTGCCCCAGAGATACAATCGTAAATGAGTACTCCCTGCCTTTCTGTGTCCTCCGTTAGTTAGAAGATGCCCTTTCCATCTAACTCTAAAATTATTCTTTTACATTTTTAGAGTACATGATGAACCTAAGGACTTTGAATTTCTTTTCTTTTCTTTCTTTTTTTTTTTTAAATTGGTATTCAGGTCTTTAATTTTTTTTTATTATTATTTGTTTTGAGACAGAGCCTCAAGCTGTTGCCCTGGGTAGAGTGCTATGGCATCACAGCTCACAGCAACCTCCAACTCCTGGCTTAAGCAATTCTCTTGCCTCAGCCTCCCAAGTAGCTGGGACTACAGACGTCCTCCACAATGCTGGGCTATTTTTACAGATGTGGGGGGAGGTTCTCACTCTTGCTCAGGCTGGTCTTGAACTCTTGAGCTCAGGCAATTCATTCACCTTGACCTCTCAGAGGGCTGGGATTACAGGCATGAGCCACTGCACCCGGCCTTTGTTGTTGCTTTTTCCCAAATGTATCTATAATGACTGCATTCAGATCCCTCCAAAGTGAATTTTTGTGAGAACAAACTGATTCCTCATCTTGTAATCAAACATTGGCATAGAAGGCAAACAGGCACAATAACTCTTGCCTGTTATCTTCAGAGAATCTTTTTTTTTTTTAGACAGTCTAACTATGTCACCCTCAATAGAGTGCTGTGGCATCACAGCTCACAGCAACCTCAAACTCTTGGGCTTAAGGGATTCTCCTGCCTCCGCCTCCCAAGTAGCTGGGACTACAGACGCCTGCCACAATGCCCAGCTATTTTGTTTTTGTGGTGGTTGCAGTTGTCATTATTGTTTAGCAGGCCCGGCCGGGTTTGAACCCACCTGCCTTGGTGTATGTGGCCGGC